TCTCTGTCGATCATATTCTGGCGAATATAACACTGCACATTTTAGTGGCATTATAAACATGAAAGAGCACAGTGTCATGAAGCATAATTTGAGCATAATTTAGTGATTTTCAGAGCATATTGCCAGCATACTGAAAAGCACAATCCGTGTTTTCTAGCATTATCTGCCGACGTCTAATTGTGACCCGAAGATGCAGGAGTTGGTTAAAACACTGCTCACTTCCCATGTAATCTCGTCTTCAATAGTGCCAATTTCAGGATAGCGCTTCTTGAATTAGTTTTCAGATGCAATAATGTCTATTTCATGGTACCATGTACCGGCATGGAGAGCGATGGTCTACAACTAATGATACTGAACTAGGACAACGGAAAGATTCATCAAGAGACAGCAGCGGACCGAACATTAGTGTTGCACAATATTAATGTTCCATTACGCGCAACTGTGTTATTATTATTATGTACATATTTCCTTAGTAGTGAGTCTCAGTGTGTCGACGATTTCTGAAGTGACATGCAAACGGCGTTTTAAAACCCATTCATACATATTGTTGCTCTGGTCGTGGTATGAGCGCGCTCACTTTATCCTTTATCAATACAACCAAGAGTACATAACCGTCAAAGAGTGCATAACCAACGAGAGTGTGCAACTGCCTGCAAAACCTCTGCACAATCTCTGCACAACCTCTGCACAACCTCTGCACAACCTCTGCACAACCTCTGCACAACCTCTGCACAACCTCTGCACAAACTCTGCACAACCTCTGCACAACCTCTGCACAACCTCTGCACAACCTCTGCACAGTGCTGCGATAGCAGGACTTCCCATCACGTGACATGGTTCAAAAGGTTATGCTGGCAAACAGTGCAAAGTGAACCCAAAGCTGGGCTGCGTACAACCCTGTGTATCTATCATGGACATGGTACAAGTGATGTGTATGGGTTCGGCACGTGATGTGAAGTTCTGCCGCCACGGACCCCACAGCTGGAGGTGCACATTCTCGGGGGCTATCTACTCTTGATAATACCATAAAATGCCACCAGAGCGCCCCACAATCTCATATTCCACATTCTGCAGTAAATCCGTACTTTCGAGCGGACACGAGCTCCACACAAAAACCGGCTTAGTGTGACCTTAGTACATTAAGGTTGCCACACCGTGCAATCTTCGTTGCACTCTGCCACACGATTTTCCTTTCCCAGGCTGTGAAATCAAGGTGGGGCGCTCTGGCGAGACGGGGCGCTCTGGCGAGACGGGGCGCTCTGGCGAGACGGGGCGCTCTGGCGAGACGGGGCGCTCTGGCGAGACGGGGCGCTCTGGCGAGACGGGGCGCTCTGGCGAGACGGGGCGCTCTGGCGAGACGGGGCGCTCTGGCGAGACGGGGCGCTCTGGCGAGACGGGGCGCTCTGGCGAGACGGGGCGCTCTGGCGAGACGGGGCGCTCTGGCGAGACGGGACGCTCTGGCGAGACGGGGCGCTCTGGCGAGACGGGGCGCTCTGGCGAGACAGGGCGCTCTGGCAGTACTTTACCAGTAGTACAGTAAGGGCCCGGTCACACATGCACTCGAAAGTAGCGTATACGCTGAAGCGAGGTCGCAGGAGCGAAAAATGGCATGGCAACGGCGAAAAGCGGAACTTCCGCTTCAGCGGAAACTCCAATCCGCTTCCTCCAAAATTTTCGAAGCGAGACTGTCGCTTCTGCGGATTCGCTTCAGCGGAAAACACCACGGTGTGCTGTATATGGACTTGCTACGAGAAATTTGTATGCGTATGATGTCCATGCAACAGAAATGCGTGCAAGATCATTGACCTCGTCTATTCTCCGTACCGTATGCACCACAGTCTCATTTTCCGCCAAAGTAGGAGTTGTGCCCTGTTTGTATGTGTGACCACACACACGTGGTTTCGCTGGAGCGACACCAGGCTCGCTGCCGCCGAACCTCGTCGCCGAAGCGAATCCCAGTGCATGTGTGACCGGGCCCTAACCGTTGTACTCGCTGAAATCCGACCAAAAGTGCAAAACTGACGCCCTGCCCTGGACCTGTTCCGACTGCATCACTGTTCTGGTAAATGTGTACGTTCAGCCGCATTCGTGCCACTTCCAGGCTGAGGGCGCCAAATATGCACTTTGGGTTGGATTTCACTGAGCCCAACTGTAGCTCAACAAGGTGCATTCTCTTACCTTTGACGCAGATGAAGTTGGTCTTTTCATCTCGCATTATGTCTTTAAGGGTATTTCCAAGGTCGGTTCTCAGCTTCTCAAGACGTTTGTCATTCGACTTGCTTGCCCTTTGAATTGATTTCAGTTGGACTTTGATCTCCTTAGGAGTGGGTATGATTCGTCCATACTTCTTACCCCAAGAGAGCCAGGATGAGGAGACCTGCGGCAACAAAACACGCATGACAACGGATTCGGAGAGCTGGCTGCAGCATCCCGGAAGGACAATCTACATGTGCCTGGACAATAGGGCACTTGTCATATGTGCCTTATTAATAAGGGCACTTGTCATAATAAGGCACTTGTCAATAGTATCCGAACGTTTTTGGTCCCTTCTCATCAAGTATTGTTCAGGGAATGGCTCAAGTTGGAAAGACTAAAACTTATATCCCGAACATGTTCGGATACTTCATGACAAGTGGGAACTTACCTTCATGCCAATACTAAATCAGGCTTGTATTCAAAACAGGCTTCTATAGGAGACAGGCTTCTATAGGAGACAGGCTTTTATTCGAGACAGTATCCCTCTTCCCCCCCCCCCCCCCCCCCCCCCAACAGCAGTTTCACACATTGTAGGTGTCGCTTACCTTGAGGCAGTGAGCTTTCTTGAAAGCTTTCAATTGACTCATTTTCAGAAGAGCCATTCCTGCTTGTTTACAATCAGACTGAGCTTCGTAGTAGTTCAAGCTATCCGGCATGGAGTGAATCTGATATCCCCCGCACTCGCTGACTCCAGTCTCTGCATATGAAGAGACAGGGCAGCGGAGAGATGAATAAACTTATATAGTACATGGGCCCGTCAGGCGAAATAGCACGTCATAGTACATTTGAGATCAGCGGGAATATTACAACCCAGACTGAGACAAGGATGTTACCGGTATGTATAATTCTATTCACAAACGCCAACAACGAGGAAGTCACTTCAAGGACTCGGAAGACAGAACAACAAGGAAAGGGCAAGGAAGCACAGGTTGGCCTGCGTGCATGCAGAGTCCTAGTGACGTCTTAGTGACGTCAACACAAGACATGTACATGGATATCACAGGGAAGAAGATGACGACGTCCACTAATTTAGTATCTGTGCACACGAATCTGCTTTGTGTGTGACTCTGTGTGTCAGCTATGGCATCATCCTCTGTGGTTCCATGCCTAGCATGTACATCTGAACCATCCTGCAAAGTTTGAATGACGTAGGTTGAGCGATCGCTCCGCGAAACATACTTTTGAAATTCTCTTCATAGTATATCTTCCACCATTGAAATTTCGAATTTCTTGCTGAGAGGGGTGGCTTGCAATCTCGATATGGCTTGTTCCAGGCATGCTTTGGAGCCATCCCCTGTTGAATTAGTGGCGGGGATCTGCCCTGCAATTGCTACAACAAAAAATGATTCGATCTGAGAAAGGGTGAGACCGCGAATCTCGGTTGGATATTGAGTATTTCAAGCCTTTCCACGACGAAGATGGAGTTCTTTTTGGAGATGGACATCGCGGCAAAGGACATGGTGTCCGACTTCTGGCGTCTGGTGAAGCCAGGGATCATTTGTCCAGTCAGGTCGGCAGCCTCTCCGTCGGTAAGCTTGTGTTTGCATCCCGTTCTGCTCGATGTGGTAGATCACAAACAATTTGATATTGCACATGTCACGTCCTGGACGCGACGCTCGCGGTTTGACAGATCCTGTGACAGCAGGATCTGTGTAGTACGAAGCTCTGTGTTTAAGCTGTCACAATCTATACTATCACGTGGTTTGGCCAGTGTCCTGTGCCACGTGTTGAGCATGTAGGTTGAGCGGCACGCGCTGTTCCGCGTAGGTGTCATGCTTTTTAGGTGTGATATCCCACGTTGGTGTCATGTCTCTTGGACATGACACATCGTATGATTCACCGCCGGAACCTGGTCAGGTAGGTTCTCGCGTGGAATGGTCTAGGAATGTTCCAGGAAGTTCTTGACTTCCTGGAAATGTACGCTCTAGGCTTCATGCAAAATCATGTGACTGAGAAGTCCTATTGATTTCCATGATCCCTTTCGCGCTTCGTGCAAGACACGAAGGGCCGTGCGCAAAAGAATGAGAACTGAGTGCAGAAGAATGAGAGCTGAGTGCAGAAGAATGAGAGCTGAGTGCAGAAGAATGAGAGCTGAGTGCAGAAGAATGAGAGCTGAGTGCAGAAGAACGAGAGGCGTGCGCAAAAGAGCGGGGAACCGCGCGCAAAATGCAGGCGCAAAAGGAAGGCGTGGCAAGCGCGGTACAGCGACGCCGCGGTGACCCGCGAAGAGCCCGCCGGTGAAGTTCCCGGAAAAGGGACGCGGATACGGCACAACATCCCGCCGGAGTTACGCTGTTCTATCACGTCGGGTGAGTGGGCTCCCCGACGTGATCCATATAATTCAAAGATTTCCGCGGAGACGTAGGTGAGCCTACGTCCCGATCCGGCCTTTTGCTCCGTTTGTGCTTCTTATTCATTGTCGTTTCCGTTGTTTGAACTATTGATCTTTGCTGTTTTCTTGCCATGCCTGCGTTGTAAAACCTGTAATTATCGCCGCCTTCTCAGAACCATCACGCCGTGCTTTGCACGAACTTCTCTATCTCTTCTTCTCAGTGCATAAAAGAACAATGTCACCTCATAACTCTACACAATTAACTCTCTCCCGGACTTGAGTAATAGACTGAGACTCTCAGACCCTCTACCTGTTGTCTTCGCTTCGTGTGTGAACCAAGGTGAGCAGAACACTAAGTTGGGTCGTCGACTATATTGGTCGACCGCCTGGCGGTTGGATTTGGTTGGGTTGTGAGCGATCATGACAAGCAACGAACCTCGCAGGGATGCGACACACAAATTGATCTCAGCATCGTGCGTACGGTATTTTATATTCAGAAATCCCAAAGTGTCTCTGTGTGGCCGTCCTATGCCACGAGAAACTCCAATCAGGCTCCTATGTCCTCTGCCTTCATGATTGAATGTCCACTTCGTTTGAACAACGAACACAACAATCGAGGACGGCTTTGCAATGAAAAATACAGCGAGTGCGTGTGCGTGCGAGTGCGTGTGTGCGAGTGCGTGTGTGGGAGTGTGTGTGCGAGTGCGTGTGTGTATGCGCGAGTGTATGTGTGTGCGAGTGCGTGTGTGTGCGAGTGCGTGTGTGTGCGAGTGTGTGTGTGTGTGCAAGTGCGTGTGCAAGTGTGTGTGTGTGTGCAAGTGTGTGTGTGGGTGTGTGTGTGCAAGTGTGTGTGTGGGTGTGTGGGTGCATGTGTGTGTGTGTGGGTGCATGTGTGTGTGTGGGTGCATGTGTGTGTGTGGGTGCATGTGTGTGTGTGGGTGTGTGTGTGTGGGGGGGGGGGGGGGGGTGGGTGTGTGGGTGTGGGTGTGTGGGTGTGTGCACGCACTTGTTTGCATGCAAGTACAGTAGGTAGATAGATTACCGTAGATGGGTGTGGCTACCTTCTTCTCCGTAAAGGCTTCACTTTTCACGTGGTATTGTTCACCATTTCTTGACACCACGGTGCACCTGGGATTAAAGCAATTCAAAATACACATATCTCGAACTAACTAAAATCCTACACCGACCATCCTTGTCTAGGGTAGAACGCACACCGCCATCACCACCATCACCACCACCACCGCCACCACAACCACCTTAGATGATGCTTCCCTCGTGTGTACAAGGTTTGCAGAGATCCGAAGTCCAGCAACAAACAAAGAGCAAGGCTAACCAATCCCACTCACATTATCTGCAAATCGGCACCGACCCTATCGGAGGGCGCTTGCCAGACCAGCGTCAGAGGGGCGTTGAAGCCAGAACGAAGGCTTGTAATGCCACGCTGGAAGCAGAAACACCGACAGTAGACTATAACTGCAGCAGCAGTGTGTGCAGCGTGTTTCTTAATATGATAACTAAAGCAGGTAGCAGTCCACTGCATACAAGTGTTTTTTGTTTTTGTTTTTTTTACTACAAAGCACTGGCCAGCAACATAAAAGGGGAGGAAGACACAATTGGACAAGCGAACATTGACAACACAGAGGAGCCTGGCATGCGCTTAATGTCAATTTTATCTAATCGGCTACACTCAGCATTATGGTTATGACTCTATGCATGTAGATGATCACTGCTCTAATATATGATCAGAACATCTGTTGTACATGTGGTTGCGTGTGTAGCTCTTTGTCGCACACGCTGCTGCGTTTGTGTCTCTTTGTTGTACATGCTGCTGAACCGTGGTACACGCTGCTGCGCTGTCTTAAGCTGTGTTCCCAACTGGCGCGTGGACGCGGTGCACTTGCGGTTCATGCGTGCCCAAACGCGCGCTCAAGCTTTCACAAAAAGAGCAATTCGAGTCGTATTAAGCGCGTGCGACACCTTCGAGTACTAATTTTTGACCCGCCAGTCAAAGTGACTGGCATGTACGCTGATACGCGCCTGGTACGCGCTGAAAATTCCAACATGTTGGAATTTCCATTTCGGCGCGTTTCCATACGCATGGCGCCCCAAAAGCCAGCAAAATACGCACAAACACGTGGTTTCGCGCGTACACGCGCCAGTTGTGAGCACAGCTTTAGACTCCTGCGTACATGCCGCTACACCGTCTTCTGTCCCCGTTGTGTACACACTTGCTCGTCTTGTCCCCGTTGTGTACACACTTGCTCGTCTTGTCCCCGTTGTATACACACTTGCTCGTCTTGTCCCCGTTGTGTGCACACTTGCTCGTCTTGTCCCCGTTGTGTACACACTTGCTCGTCTTGTCCCCGTTGTGTGCACACTTGCTCGTCTTGCCCCCGTTGTGTACACACTTGCTCGTCTTGCCCCCGTTGTGTACACACTTGCTCGTCTTGCCCCCGTTGTACGCCTTCACTATATTCCGTTGTCTTGTCTTGTCTCAATCCGTTGTTAGTTGTTGTCAGTTCTTTCGTCGGCGCTTGAAGTTCGTTACAGAAAATACCTCTCTCTCGGTATCGAGAATTAACTATTTTTCTAGTCCTTTTGTTGTGTGGCGTGGAGAGAGCATACCGTAAGACATGTTATTATAACGAGTCGCAAATTTAACGATTGTCCAAAATTCATAGGTTAACGAGAAGATATGTTAACGATCTTGCAGTATTCTGCCATATCCACACAAAGCATATAGTACGGCCTCAACGGATCTTATTATAGCGAAGAAATGTCATCCGTTAAAACGATAGATTTGCTTCCTCGTTATATAAAATTATACATGTCTCACAGTAGAAGAAGTAGTTTATCCGTCAGCCAAGACGACACATCTCTGTACAGTGTACTGACAACATGGCTGATGGCGAGTAGTGAGTAGAGGGAGTAGTATTATTACTACCTGATGGTCACCACGGAGTAGTATTATCACTACCTGATGGCCACCAGGGAGTAGTATGGCTGATGGCGAGTAGTGAGTAGAGGGAGTAGTATTATTACTACCTGATGGTCACCACGGAGTAGTATTATCACTACCTGATGGCCACCAGGGAGTAGTATTATCACTACCTGATGGCCACCAAGGAGTACAGTCAACTTCGCCAATAACGACATTCGGCGGGGCATCAGAAAAGTGTCCTTATTCGCGAAGTGTCCTTATAACCGAAGTCCCATTTGAATGTATGTGAACCCATATTTTGTATGGTATGACATGCATATCAAAATCAAGCTCTTTTCTTGCTCTATGTCAATGTGTACTTTATTTTCATATTGCAGTTGAAAGGAACTAAAAATTCAATATGCAAGGGAAATCAATTGAAAAATATGCCTTTTTGAGCCATCTACAGGGCCAGAGACATGTACATGTAGGATGATTACTGTACAATCATGTACAACTACGTGTACATTGTATACACAATCTGCGGACAGAACTGTTTCGTCCTTTGTGGACTCGTCAGCGCAGCGCAGAGGAGATGAGGCCGAACCTGATAGCAATGGGAATAAAAATTTCCAATCAGGCCCGAACGTACCTTGCCAGAGTGCACAAACTGACAAGTCAGTGCATAAAGCAAACAGCAAAGGCACTACCCCACGCAAGAGTGCTCAACTGCTACAAGACCAGGAGCGAAATACTCAATCTGCGGACAGAATAGTTTCGTCCTTTGTGGACTCGTCAGCGCAGCACAGAGGAAATGAGGCCGAACCTGATAGCAATGGAAATAAAATTTTCCAATCAGGCCCGAACGTACCTTGCCAGAGTGCTCAAACTGACAAGTCAGTGAGCTCTGTACATTGTATACATAGGTGTGCTGGTAAATCCAACAATTTTGAAGCCAACATAAAAAAGGAAGAACCCCCCCCCTTGGCTGCATTTTCTTGCATGTGTGCCTTTATAATAATAATATCCATCACCATAGGTTCTGGTACTTCTGCATGACAGGTGCATGTACTTGACTGACAGGTACTTGAAATAGCTGTCAAAAGCCCAGAAAGTCGTTATTCAAGCAGTGAATATGACCTCGGGGCACTAAAAGCATGTCGCTATACGCGAATTGTCGTTATTCAGATAGTCGTTATATCCGAAGTTAAATGTATACAGTTAGATGGGACTTTGCTCTGGGCATGGAAATTCGGTCGTTATTCGCGAATTGTCGTTATATCCGCAGTCGTTATTAGCGAAGTTGACTGTAATACCGTAAAGTCCGATGCAAACGCCCACCCCATTTTTGCAAGATCTGCTGGCCTGTACACACTGACCCCATGCACTCACCTCTACTGTACGAAAGTGCGCCTCATACCGTAGCGGGAAGTGCGCTTTGCTACGGTAGACTATGTCCACTTTCCTGGTTTCAAAATCTCTTTGGGCACTAGCTACGAGCTAGCTCGTATTGATTTTATGATGATGGTTGCTTTTTTCGCAAATCCAGATGGGAGTTTCTTCCGAATAACAAGGTAGCGAAGAACATTGCAGGAACCAAATACACTTCTGATCATTTTCAAATCAGGCAACGCTCAAAGGCAAGGGTTTTTCTCAAGCACTTCAGAGTTTCCAACAAGTTAGCAGTGACTTTGTAGGTGTAGCTTGTACTAGCTTCTGTGACATAGTCGTTGAATGACGCTTCGTCAGAACAATCACTGTTCCGTTCTGCAAATGCCACATTGTGGCACTGCAGAAATTTCATGAAAACCAGATGAAAACCAGATGGATTCTACGGCATAAACCATCACTACATGGAGAGTGACCTACCACAAGGACGACTCATTTATCGAATGAAAGGAAATCTCGACAGAAGTTTTTCTTTGCACTAAGATGATGAAAATCGCTTTTGCAGAGCCTCCTGGTAAGACAGGCAGTTTGTAGGCATTACAACCGTTTTCGTACGCATTCGACCTTCCTGCCAGTTTTCTACAACTATATTGACCTGAAAAAGACGAAAATAGTATGGACTCGCTGGGGTGGGCGTTTGCAGCGAAGTGGGCGTTTGCAGCGAAGTGGGGGTTTTCCGCTGGGGTGGGCGTTTGCAGCGAAGTGGGCGTTTGCAGCGAAGTGGGCGTTTGCAGCGAAGTGGGCGTTTGCAGCGAAGTGGGCGTTTGCAGCGAAGTGGGCGTTTGCAGCGAAGTGGGCGTTTGCAGCGAAGTGGGCGTTTGCAGCGAAGTGGGCGTTTGCAGCGAAGTGGGCGTTTGCAGCGAAGTGGGCGTTTGCAGCGAAGTGGGCGTTTGCAGCGAAGTGGGCGTTTGCAGCGAAGTGGGCGTTTGCAGCGAAGTGGGCGTTTGCAGCGAAGTGGGCGTTTGCAGCGAAGTGGGCGTTTGCAGCAAAGTGGGCGTTTGCAGCGAAGTGGGCGTTTGCAGCGAAGTGGGCGTTTGCAGCGAAGTGGGCGTTTGCAGCAAAGTGGGCGTTTGCAGCGAAGTGGGCGTTTGCAGCGAAGTGGGGGTTTGCAGCGAAGTGGGGGTTTGCAGCAAGTGGGGGTTTGCAGCGAAGTGGGGGTTTGCAGCGAAGTGGGCGTTTGCAGCGGACTTTACGGTAGTACTTCCTCCCTGGTGGTCACAGATATACTTGTTCATAGCAACGTAGAGGACAAGTAGCTGAATGAAACTAACGTCCTGAAGCACCACACTTTAAGCATGCATGCGCACCCACCCATGCACACACACACACACACACGCACGCACGCACGTACGCACCCACACGCACACACACACGCACACACACACACAAACACACACACGCAAACACACACACGCAAACACACACACGCACACACATGCACACACACACACGCGCACACATGCACGCACACACACGCACACACGCACGCAAGCACGCACGCTCGCACACACACACACACGCATACCTTTGATGGATAACATGGAACTCCGGTCGTGTGTGCCGGAGAGTCCATACCCGGGAAAGACCCAACGGCTGCCTTATGCCAGGTTTTACCTTCCTTTTGCACACGGCAAACAAATGAAGAGAATTCTTCACCAGTAATCAGAACTGTCGTGGGAGAAAAGAGAACAAAAACCGAGAAAGAAGAACAGGAAAAAACCCAACTAGCTGTAAATAGAAATGTAGGACTCAATCTGAGAGGCCAATCTAAAGTGATGGAACACAAGACGGTATGCAAACCCCTCCAAGAGTGTGCAACTCGACCAGCAGTACCGTTCTTGAGGATTCGTGGTTTTTACGATGCAATGCACGATGGACCCTACCCTCAGGGCCTAGTTCCCTCGTGCACAAATTCATGCCAGCAAACAAACGCGGATGGTCTGCATCGCCGCACAAATGCCGCAAATCAACCGTGCAACGGGGGCATTGCACCGTACAACGTTATCACGTCTCCTGGAAGGTCACTGCTGCACGGCGTGTTGGATTTGCACACTGTATGTGGGGGGGGGGCATGTACTCTTAAGTGAGGCGGGGCACAGGGGGGGGGGGGGGGGGGGGGGAGGGAGGGGTGTGTGTGAGTGATTCCATTAAAAAAAAAAAGACTATGCTTACCTTGGTACTTCTCTTCAAGTGTGTATCCCTGGCCTATGTTGTGTCTGATGCTGTACAGATCTCGTCCACTTGCGTTAGGGGCTCCCATGGACAGTGTGTCACAAAACTTATGACCAAACCTGTATGGTTTCACCGATGATTGCTGTGGAACTCTTTCTTTATCTGATTTTGTTCCGCTGTTGGATGTACAATCCTGTACACCGGGAAAATAGCAAGAAAAACCCTTACTGCATGCTGAGAGAGAGAGAGAGAGAGAGAGAGAGAGAGAGAGAGAGAGAGAGAGAGAGAGAGAGAGAGAGAGAGAGAGAGCCAGAGAGAGAGAGAACCAGAGAGAGAGCCAGAAAGAGAGCAAGAGAGAGAGCCAGAGAGAGAGCCAGAGAGAGAGCCAGAGAGAGAGAGCCAGAGAGAGAGCCAGAGAGAGAGAGCCAGAGAGAGAGCCAGAGAGAGAGCCAGAGAGAGAGCCAGAGAGAGAGCCAGAGAGAGCCAGAGAGAGAGCCAGAGAGAGAGCCAGAGAGAGAGAGCCAGAGAGAGAGAGAGCCAGAGAGAGAGAGAGCCAGAGAGAGAGCCAGAGAGAGAGCCAGAGAGAGAGAGCCAGAGAGAGAGAGCCAGAGAGAGAGAGAGCCAGAGAGAGAGTGCCAGAGAGAGAGAGAGCCAGAGAGAGAGAGAGCCAGAGAGAGAGGGAGAGAGAGAGAGAGAGAGAGAGAGAGAGAGAGAGAGAGAGAGAGAGAGAGCCAGAGAGAGAGAGAGAGAGCCAGAGAGAGAAGAGAGCCAGTGAGAGAGCCAGAGAGAGAGCCAGAGAGAGAGCCAGAGAGAGAGCCAGAGAGAGAGCCAGAGAGAGAGCCAGAGAGAGAGCCAGAGAGAGAGAGCCAGAGAGAGAGAGCCAGAGAGAGAGCCAGAGAGAGAGCCCGAGAGAGAGCCAGAGAGAGAGCCCGAGAGAGAGCCAGAGAGAGAGCCAGAGAGAGAGCCAGAGAGAGAGAGCCAGAGAGAGAGCCAGAGAGAGAGCCAGAGAGAGGGCCAGAGACAGAGCCAGAGAGAGAGAGAGCCAGAGAGAGAGAGAGAGCCAGAGAGAGAGAGAGCCAGAGAGAGAGAGCCAGAGAGAGAGAGCCAGAGAGAGAGAGCCAGAGAGAGAGCCAGAGAGAGAGCCAGAGAGAGAGCCAGAGAGAGAGCCAGAGAGAGAGCCAGAGAGAGAGAGCCAGAGAGAGAGAGCCAGATATAGAGAGAGAGCCAGAGAGAGAGAGAGCCAGAGAGAGAGAGAGCCAGAGAGAGAGAGAGCCAGAGAGAGAGAGAGAGAGAGAGAGAGCCAGAGAGAGAGAGAGCCAGAGAGAGAGAGAGCCAGAGAGAGAGCCAGAGAGAGAGCCAGAGAGAGAGCCAGAGAGAGAGCCAGAGAGAGAGCCAGAGAGAGAGCCAGAGAGAGAGCCAGAGAGAGAGTCAGAGAGAGAGCCAGAGAGAGAGCCAGAGAGAGAGCCAGAGAGAGAGAGCCAGAGAGAGAGCCAGAGAGAGAGCCAGAGAGAGAGCCAGAGACAGAGCCAGAGAGAGAGAGCCAGAGAGAGACAGAGAGAGCCAGAGAGAGAGAGCCAGAGAGAGAGAGCCAGAGAGAGAGAGCCAGAGAGAGAGCCAGAGAGAGCCAGAGAGAGAGCCAGAGAGAGAGCCAGAGAGAGAGCCAGAGAGAGAGAGCCAGAGAGAGAGAGCCAGATATAGAGAGAGAGCCAGAGAGAGAGAGAGCCAGAGAGAGAGAGAGCCAGAGAGAGAGAGAGAGCCAGAGAGAGAGCCAGAGAGAGAGAGAGCCAGAGAGAGAGAGAGCCAGAGAGAGAGAGAGCCAGAGAGAGAGAGCCAGAGAGAGAGCCAGAGAGAGAGCCAGAGAGAGAGCCAGAGAGAGAGTCAGAGAGAGAGCCAGAGAGAGAGCCAGAGAGAGAGCCAGAGAGAGAGCGCCAGAGAGAGAGCCAGAGAGAGAGCCAGAGAGAGAGAGCCAGAGAGAGAGAGAGAGCCAGAGAGAGAGAGCCAGAGAGAAAGCCAGAGAGAGAGTCAGAGAGAGAGCCAGAGAGAGAGCCAGAGAGAGAGCCAGAGAGAGAGCCAGAGAGAGAGCCAGAGAGAGAGAGCCAGAGAGAGAGAGAGCCAGAGAGAGATCCGGAGAGAGAGCCAGAGAGAGAGCCAGAGAGAGAGCCAGAGAGAGAGAGCCAGAGAGAGAGAGCCAGAGAGAGAGCCAGAGAGAGAGCCAGAGAGAGAGAGAGCCAGAGAGAGAGAGAGCCAGAGAGAGAGCCAGAGAGAGAGAGAGAGCCAGAGAGAGAGAGAGCCAGAGAGAGAGAGCCAGAGAGAGAGAGCCAGAGAGAGAGCCAGAGAGAGAGCCAGAGAGAGAGAGCCAGAGAGAGAGCCAGAGAGAGAGCCAGAGAGAGAGCCAGAGAGAGAGGGGAGAAAGAGAGAGAGAGAGAGAGAGAGAGAGAGAGAGAGAGAGAGAGAGAGAGAGAGAGAGAGAGAGAGAGAGAGAGAGAGAGAGAGAGAGAGAGAGAGAGAGAGAGAGAGAGAGAGAGAGAGAGGAGGGAGGAGGGAGGCAGAGCAAGACAGAGCAACAGACAGGACAGGGCAGAGAGGGTAGAGCAACGGAATGAGAGAGAAAGGAAACTTTGCAATGAAAGTGCTCTTTGCTTACATCAGCATAATCAGCAGTGACGGGTTCGATTGGCCCGCTTCTCTGTACTTGGTAGAAGACTGGATTACTGTCTCTGATTTCCTGGACCAGTGAGCAACTGCACACAATCCACAGAATAAGAAACATGAAGGAAAATGCAGTAAGTCTTTGCAGGAAGACTGGACTTGAAAAAACCGGAACTATTGTACAGTCTGTTTGCCAATTACCGCAGTTCCGCGCATATAAGCCCATGGGATAATATACGAAATAATGCATTTTCCGGGAAAAAAATCAGTTAATTATTGTTCGTGTTTAGCCCTGGGCCTATATTCGAATTTTGAAGGCAGCTGGCACGCGAAAAAGTACAAGTCAGTGCGCGGTTGTCCGCCTACCGTACGTACTGGTACTGGTAATGTAGTCTGCACTGACATGCTGTACTATCGGTTCTGTAACAGTGTTTGGGTCTGTTTATTAGCCCATGGGCCTATAAACGGAGGTGGGCTTATATCCGGATATAGGCCCGTGGGCTTATATGCGCGGAGCTACGGTAAACAGCTCAGTGCACTTCTTGATTGCACTAGGTGGCAGTCGCGAGTTTGTTAGTTAAGAAAAGTGCCAATGCCAAGACGCTCCCTAAACATTTTCCGTTGCACAAGTATTGGAAGCACCGTCGCGGGATCTGAACTTTGTCCGCTTTTACGAATATCACCCCTTTGTCCACAGCATCAAAAAATTGAGCAAATGGCTCTTGAAATGGAAGAGAATCGATCAGCTGTATATAGCAGAATGCAGCCACTAGGTTTAAACTTCCTCCCTTCCTTGTTACAGTGGAGATTGGATATAACGACACTCCTTCGGGGGAGAACAAAATGTCACTATATTCGATCTGTCACTAAACCCGATCTTCACAAAGGACTTACTAAACGACTTGGACAACAGAATTGTGTCGCTAAACTCAATCTGTCGTTATATGCAAGGTCGTTATATCCGATCTCCACTGTATTGCAATTCCCTCATCTGTTATTGGTCGCTGAATGTCTCAATACTCCTAGTCCGTTTTGTGCCATTTTGTCGCACTCGCTGACGATATAATGATCTGCTTACATTGGCAGACAGCTAGTCAAAACTGTAAACTTTATCCTTCTCCTTTTTTACCATAATAACAATATTCATATATTAAAGGGGCCATCCGTAAATACCAATATATGAGCCAGGGACTACAGAAACCACCCTATGGCACTTTTTGGAGAAAAAAATTTTTTTCTCTCAAAATGTTGGTATGGTATGGTAATGTGCTCAAACAAAATTTCGAGTTGATCTGCGATGGTAAAATGTGCCTAACCACCTATTTAATAATGGCATATCAATTGAGCAATATAGAGCAAATTTATGTACACAGTATGTAATGTTCTTTGTATATCTTCATTCTTGCTACTACGTAGTAGTTAGGCAGTTCAAATGTATAGTGAACTATGCCCTCAGCTTCATCCAGTGACGCCTACTAAATCCACTAATCTCGGTGGTACTGCCGCTCCTCTTGTGCTAGCGATGTGTGCGAACACAGGGCCTGGACACTACATTTCGTCTCTTCCTCTGTACGGGCGACACGAATTTTGTACCGCAGATTGTCACACAGTGCGCATACGTCTGTCCTTGGCTTCATCACTTTGATGTGTGCTGCCTGTCTCCTCCAAATGTGGCAAAATGACCTGTAATGAACAGGCGAATACTGTGTGACGGTCTTGGTGTAGATGTATGCAGACTTCTTGTGCTCGGATGCTGGTAAGTATACTGGAGGGTCCTCAGCACGACCTCCCTCCGCTGCAGGTTGAGGTAGACCGTACATGTTAGCATAATTATGACTAAATAAACTGCACTACATCGTGCTCTATGTCTGCTGAAATGGCCAAGTGCTCTGGTGTTCTCCCAGTCAAGCCATGTTGTGCCAGTTAAACGACTCCTTTGTTTGCCTTTTTTGAAGGCGCTTCATTACATGACTTCCAACAGCATGAACTGCCATGAACACGTCTTTGCACAACTCGTAACCACGTACATGATAGCGGAAATAGAAAGGTCGATCACCACCGCCAGTCATCGACTTTCGCATGCTTCCAGTCAGTGCGCCCAGAACAAACTGCTTGAACTGTTGAAGCGCTTTTTCGATTCTCGCAGTTTAGAGACTTCAAATATGTAGTCCTCGAGCTGCTGCTCTGGGATGACTTTCCAATGATTCTTCGACTTGCATCCACAGCCTCTCTCAATCCCATCGCGTATGTCCGAGGAGACCACGCTTCACCTGCTCCGTCGTCGGTGGCTCAGGTGCGGGGGTATCTGGTTCGTCATTCAATTCCGAGTAGTCGGTGTCACTCTCCGCGTTTGAAATTTCCGAGCTGTCGGGGCTTGGCGTTTTCGACACAACACTAGCAGCACTCGAGCTTGCTGTGACTCCATACGTCTTCTTCTTAGGTGGCATATCATCGCCGTCGCTGTCAGCATCGGTGTCGGAATCGCTCGCGGACGACTCGCGGATGCCAGCGCTGAATCCGTAAAAATTCTCGTCGTCCGATTCAAGCGCCTTCGCATCAGGGACTAGTCGACTCCACACAGAATCGAGCTGCGTCGTGATGTTGTAGCCATAATCAATCACAGTAAGTGGAGCCTCATGAGTTACTCGACAATCGCTCGAGCTCGGAATTCTTCCCCGACCACCTAACAAGACGAGAGACGGAGAAGCTCTTGAGTCTTGTCAAAACAAAAGTGACGAGTTCTGCGCTTCGCGTAACTTTGAGTCGCGTGACTTTGAAACGTCATAACTTGATTTTGATATCAAACGTCGTAGGGCGGTTTCTATAGTCCCTGGCTCATATATATATATTATATCGCTAGAGCGACGAGCTACCTTAATGTCTGTGGTGCCTCCTTTGCACCATGGCTGGTAACTCGGCCTATTTAGCTCGTAGCTGTACTGATGAGGCCTTTATCGAAACAGCTTGCTGTCTACAGCATTGGGTATATATATGAGCCAGGGACTACAGAAACCACCCTATGGCACTTTTTGGCGAAAATTTTTTCTCTCTCAAAATGTTGGCATGGTATGGTAATGTGCTCAAACAAAATTTCAAGTTGATCTGCGATGGTAAAATGTGCCTACCACCTATTTAATAATGGCATATCAATTGAGCGATATAGAGCAAATTTATGTACACAGTATGTAATGTTTTTTGTATATCTTCATTCTTGCTAGTTAGGCAGTTCAAATGTATAGTGAACTATGCCCTCAGCTTCATCCAGTGACGCCTGCGCGCCGTCCACTAAATCTCGGTAGTACTGCCGCTCCTCTTGTGCTAGCGATGTGTGGGAACGCAGGGCCTGGACACTACATTCCGTCTCTTCCTCTGTACGGGCGACACGAATTTTGTACCGCAGATTGTTACACAGTGCGCATACGTCTGTCCTTGGCTTCATCACTTTGATGTGTGCTGCCTGTCTCCTCCAAATGTGGCAAAATGACCTGTAATGAACAGGCGAATACTGTGTGACGGTCTTGGTGTAGATGTTGTATGCAGACTTCTTGTTCTTGGATGCTGGTAAGTATACTGGAGGGTCCTCAGCACGACCTCGCTCCGCTGCAGGTTGAGGTAGACCGTACATGTTAGCATAATTATGACTAAATAAACTGCACTACATCCTGCTCTATGTCTGCTGAAATGGCCAAGTGCTCTGGTGTTCTCCCAGTCAAGCCATGTTGTGCCAGTTGAACGACTCCTTTGTTTGCCTTTTTTGAAGGCGCTTCATTACATGACTTCCAACAGCATGAACTGCCATGAACACGTCTTTGCACAACTCGTAACCACGTACATGATAGCGGAAATAGAAAGGTCGATCACCACCGCCAGTCATCGACTTTCGCATGCTTCCAGTCAGCGCGCCCAGAACAAACTGCTTGAACTGTTGAAGCGCTTTTTCGATTCTCGCAGTTTAGAGACTTCAAATATGTAGTCCTCGAGCTGCTGCTCTGGGATGACTTTCCAATGATTCTTCGACTTGCATCCACAGCCTCTCTCAATCCCATCGCGTGTGTCCGAGGAGACCACGCTTCACCTGCTCCGTCGTCGGTGGCTCAGGTGCGGGGGTATCTCAGTGGTTCGTCATCCGATTCCGAGTAGTCGGTGTCACTCTCCGCGTTTGAAATTTCCGAGCTGTCGGGGCTTGGCGTTTTCGACACAACACTAGCAGCACTCGAGCTTGCTGTGACTCCATACGTCTTCTTCTTAGGTGGCATATCATCGCCGTCGCTGTCAGCATCGGTGTCGGAATCGCTCGCGGACGACTCGCGGGTGCCAGCGCTGAATCCGTAAAAATTCTCGTCGTCCGATTCAAGCGCCTTCGCATCAGGGACTAGTCCACTCCACACAGAATCGAGCTGCGTCGTCTACTAGATGTTGTAGCCATAATCAATCACAGTAAGTGGAGCCTCATGAGTTACTCGACAATCGCTCGAGCTCGGAATCCTTCCCCGAACACCTAACAAGAGGACAGCTCTTGAGTCTTGTCAAAACGAAAGTGACGAGTTCTGCGCTTCGCGTAACTTTGAGTCGCGTGACTTTGAAACGTCATAACTTGATTTTGATATCAAACGTCGTAGGGCGGTTTCTATAGTCCCTGGCTCATATATATATACTCAATCTGCGGACAGCATATATATATATATATATTTAGAAACGGAAAACTAGTCATTTCTCTTCAATCCCCCTCCCCCTTCCTAGAAATTAACCGTACTACTGGTACATAGTCGATACTTTTTCTGGACATGCTCACACATACAAACTGTACATCGATATTTTTTCGAGAAACGAACAGGCGCTCAGCCCCCCCCCCCCCCCCTAAACCACTAGTTTTCATTTCTAAAATATCTATATTTACGGATGGCCCCTAAGTTGAGGGAATGGTTTAGCTGTCATCCCAGCAGAGACCGTTCAACATTCTCGAAACCCACACTTACTGGACCCTACACGTGGGACGCAGCCCTCACTGTATCCACACACTTCACGCACAAACTAGTACGCGGGGAGCACCAGGTATCACATATTCATACGTTGAGGAATGGAAAAGTCTGAAGAAAAAATTGACCGTCACCACTAGGAATCGAACCAGGGACCTTCGCTTGAGACCAGCGATGCTCTGACCACTGAGCTATGGTGTAGCACGAACAGCATTGAAAACAGCACTTCTTTCACATCGCCAATACTGTTAGGTACCTCCTCCCGTACAATCTTACCTACAACCTTTCCTAAGCTGGCCGGCCTGCATGCACCCGTACTACGTCATACTCACCTTTCGTTCCGTTGGCCTGGGTAGCTACTTGCGCGCCCATGTTTGCCATAGCTACCCAGGCCCTTTATATTGCATTGTTTCTCAGTCGAGCTCTCTCTCTTCAATAATCTCGCTCTCTGCCATTATCTCTTTCTCACTCTTCAATGTAGTCGTTTCGTTCGTCTTGGTCGCTTGTCTCGTCGTCTATAATAAATGTTTCCCAATAACTTGTTCCCGTTGTCCGTTGTAATGTCTGGAGAAGATGTCGTCAGTCGTCCTTCTTCGGACTCAACAATACAATAAAACAATTGAAACTCAATAATTCTGCAGTGATCGACATTCTCTCTCATGGAGCTAAGAACGTTCGTCATCACTGCGCTGATCGCCATGGCAAAGTGGATCATGCAATTGGCTATTCATTTGGTTTATCGTACGCAAGCGAGAGATATGCCATTCGAACAGATATTAGATTGTCGTGTGTGCCAAGTTAATCTGAACGCTACTTGAAAAAAATCAATGCACTTCCCCGTTCATAGCACTCAGCGGCATCAAGACAACATGAAAACCAGAGTGTGCAGCTCGGATGGGTTGCTGTCACGGTGGAATTCCGTGATTACATCATTTTAGTGATGCAGTGCGTGCAAGCAGGATTCAAGCAGGTCTCTTTCTGCACAACTGCAGCTCAGTCTTACGCACTACGCCATTTCCCGCCTCAGATCTGCGCCAAATAGGATGTAATCACGGAACTCCGCCATGACAGACACCCATAGTAGAAAAGGCCCCAAGCTACACACTCTGGTTTTCATGTACTCTTGGCAGCATTCGCAGCATTCATTTCACTTCCAGGACGTTTCCATGGGATCGAAGGAGCCTGGGGTGGCAAAAATGCACGTTGGCCTGGAGTACACCAACAATCACCTCAACTCTAGCTCCCACAGCATGAACACCGGCAACCAAATCATACACTGAATAAGCCACTCACACAACCTGGACGTCGTCCTCATCGATCTCAGCTGGTGCCAACCACTTCAACACAAGGGGACCGCGAGTTGTACGGTCATATTGCAAGCCCACAATACCAGTCTATAAGTAGAAGAAAGCACGGAAGAAACATAATTCCCAGAGTGCTCCTCTCTAGACTCTTCATACCAGCCTTAGGGCCCGGTCACACATGCACTCTGAAATAGCGGTTCAGCTGAAGCAACGTCGAAGGAGCGGAAAATACCAAGGCAACCGCGAGGAGCGGAACTACCGCTCCAGCGGAAAATCAAATCCGCTGCCGCCAACATTTCGGGAGCGGAACTCTCGCTTCTGCAGTTTCGCTTCAGCGGATTACACCACGGTCTGCTGAATCTGGACTTGCTACGAGAAATTTGTATGTGCATGATCTCCATGCAACAAAAAAATGCGTGGCAGATAGTCAGTGACTCCGTACCGTATGCACAACAGTCCACTTCACTCATGTTTCCGCCAAAGTACAGATGGCCCTGTCTGTCATGTAAGACTGTACACATGCTGGAGGGACACCAGTCTCGCCGCCACAGAACTTCGCCACCGAAGCGGAACCCCAGTGCATGTGCGACGAGGGACTTAGCGCGTGCACACACCCACACACACCCCCACACACACACACGCGACACACGTGCGACACACACGCGACACACGTGCGACACACACGCGACACACGCGACACATGCGACCCACGAGACCCACACGACACACACACACACACAACCACACACTCTAACGTGAACACACATTCTTGTGTCAATGCACGCTCACAGAACACACAGGACACACAGGACACACAGGACACACACACACACACACACACACACACACACACACACACGGGCTCAAACGGTCAGTCCGATTAACCGATTGCAGACCGGTTACAAAGAATAAACGGTAAACCGATAAAGATAACGGTTACGCAGTAACGTTTCAGTCCATTTTTCAAGTATCAGGTCGTTGCAAAGTATGCACTTTCGCAGGCTTATAGGTTATAACCGTTAAACCAACCGTTAGCTTAGCAGTTAACCGTTAGGGGTAAAGCCGTGACCGTTTGAGCCCTAACACACACACATACACACACACATAATAATGATAATAATAATAATTGCATTCCAACTCATCACAACCACGCGCTCTTCAGCCGAACCATACAGACACCAGCAACAGGGAGCAGGGAGCAGGGAGCAGGGAGCGAAACAGCTGTCTAGAGGCGTGGAGCAATATTATCTCTCAACGGAAGTGTCCTTGCTGGTGTCTGTATGGTTCGGCTGAAGAGCGCGTGGTTGTGATGAGTTGGGAATGCAATGAATTGAAAATATGGCCGAAAGCTCTGTCGCAATATTTTAGTTCTGAAATAATAATAATGATAATAATAATTCAAAGGATCAGTCAGGGAAGTGAACTGCCTGAAAAGAGAAAAAAAACGCCAGACCCACCAGGACTCGAACCTGGGACCCTGCTTGTCATGAGCAATGCTCTAACCACTGAGCTATGGGACCTCACTTCCCCGAATGATCCTTTGAATTTGAAGTTCTCCCAATCCTTTCCAAATAATAATAATAATAATAAACACAGCTCGCATCTTCCCTGAACCTGTTAGACAGGAGCAGAGTCGACGCACCTGTCAACAGTGTCAAGCCAAGTTAGTCTATCTCATGCAGCTTGGAGAGCGCTCTCCACGTACACACACTCTAACGTCAACACACATTCTAGTGTCAATGCACGCTCACAGAAGCAAACTCACTGATGGCGGGTTGCAAGGCGAGGTTGTGGTCTGACGTGGACTAAGGCGAGAGGGAAATGTACCGACGGCTTTCGCCAGGCTTGTGGTGCCTTTCTTTTGGACACGACAGGCAAAACCGGATAGGTATCTTCCTGTGATGATTACTGTAGAGCAAGAAAAGGAAAAAAACACAAACAACAGCTATCGCTCTCGTTCCATGTGCAGTGTAAATTTCCCAGGTAAGGTTGCCGTCTTATACTCTGCTTGCTCTTGGAACTATTCTTTTCGGAAGCCTACAAAATTGGCAACTCAGTAATTAGCCTTGCCTACTGGCCATCCTTCCCAAGATCCATACATGACCCGATGTGCTGCCATCCGGGGCATATTTCATGTCAAAACCATGATGGAGGCAGAAATTCTTCTTTTTTCATAGAGAACTAACAACACTCTACACGCACCAAAAGATTTTGAATACTTCACTCCACAATGTGTACCAAATATAGTGTGTGGGGGGGAGGGAGGGAGGGAGGGGTTACTCCATGCACACCAAACTGTACTCACTTTCATAAGTTTTTCCGCGTTGGAAGCCACACGTCATATTGTGAGTGATGTGAAACGGACTAGCTTCTTCGGAAGAATCAAGTACTTCCCGACCTGCCGCGTCTTGCAGAAGGAGGGAGTCGCAATTGTGATAGAATAAGCCGTTTTTGTAGGATCTCCCCGCTTCAGTGCCGCTGGGCAGCAACAGGCAGATGGCGATCATGGCGGCGAACGCCAGGACAGGATCGGCAGTAATACGAGCCATTTTCTGTGGCGTTCGAAGTCCGCAAACTCCTCACACACTAGGGCACAGGTCGAGATTCGGCGGTTTTACGGCGATGCAGCCAATTGAGAGATCGTAAATCTGGACAAGAAGAAGGTTCAGAGGAAATGAAACCAATAGAGTCATAATACTATTACTAGTATAACAGTTTAAAATCTTGTAGAAAAGTGTTCAACAGTGCTAGTAATGTATTCTCGTCACAACGGTACCGAAACTCAACTATCCAGTAGCAAGATCAAGAGCCACGGCAAGATACGAGGAGAAACCAGAAGAACATGAGAGCATCACTTACTTCGCGAAGAACAGTGGCGGAGAGAAAACAAGCAACTGACTCCTGTCAGAATATCGATGGTATGAGTTGGAGTGCTCCATCTCGCCTGGGTTTGTAGGCCAGGAGAGCCTGGTCAGCATTGCGCCTGACGACTAGAACGGTTCCCTGGGCAGAATCCGGGGAGCCTGCTTTCCATTTCGTCTCTCGGTATGATAGAAAGTGCAAACGAGAGCAGTTTGCAGAGTACACAGTGCGCTGCAAGCGTACCCCTCCCTCAACCGTCCGCCACCTTTTTTGTTTGCATGGTGCCGTGAATGGCGTCACGGGGACAAGTTTGGCGGCTTGGGTACAGGGTAACGGGTACCTAGTACCTGCAATGCAGATCTACATGCACTGTGTCGAATATGGACTACGGTACGTAGCAAGCACAGCTCAGAGAGCCGGAAGCGGAACCTGGATCTGCATGGAGCTCGCGCAGGTACCCCTACTGTCCGGCCCTAGTATCAAAGTAGCTCCCCGTAATGACTCCACCAATCATCAGCTGTAGACCTGTGTATGTTAGGGCTACCAGCGAGCTCGAGAGTAGCCTACACGATCCTGACCTCTGAAGGTCATGTACCCTGCACAGCGCATATATGTACCCCTGCCTGCCGTGAATGGCCGCTGGCGTACACCGGGTGCACAGCACTCCCCGTTTTGTCTCCGCGTGGCCATGGGACGGTCCACTCCGCGTGGCCATGGGACGGTCCATCTGCTGACTGCCTTTCTGGCTCTGCGCTGGCGCTCTCAGACGAGTTACTTTGTAGCACCAACCATGTACATGTACCAGTCGTCTTTGACTTCGCGTGTTTGGTGCCCCCCCCCCCCCCCCCGACACTTTGGTGTCCTGGTGGAAGCCCCGGAATCCTTCTCCTGTCACACGAGGGCAGGAGGACTTTGCAAGGATTCAAGCTGGCCAGCGCTTCCACCAAGTAGAAATACTCCCAACCCTGACACAGGGAGACAAACTTAATCCCAAGAAGAACCAGCACGAAAGATGTTTGCCGTGAATTTCTCGTGGCTTTTCCGTGTTTACACCATGGGGAATGGCGATGGGTAGGTGACGCCGAAGGGCCCAGTGGATCTACTCGTACTGCAGCAATAGCCCGTGGCCGGTGATATTGGAAACTGATTTTGTTTAAGCCTCTTATACGGGCAATCACAGAACATGATTTCCCTGGCCTGACGCAACAACTAAAGAAAAACAAAAACAAAAAGAAAATGAAACTAACTTTACAATCTGCACACAATGACAACTCCGATAGTCTCTGTTGATCAGTCGGTATCCGTTACCTGTGTTAGCTAGTTGCCAACAAGGCGGGGTTCGGCAACAGGAACATCTGGAGAGGCGTCATCCATCCTATATACACAAATAGGAGGTTTTTTTTACTGAATACCACAGTACCATCAGATGCTGCACAGCTAGCGGGGGCGGTGGCATATTGGATGGAAGTGGGGCGGGGCAAAAGTAACTCCTCCGACCAAAGGTCTCGGAATTATCGTTACTCCTGTGCGCCGATACATAGGAGAAAAGAAACATGTGCATCCAAGAGGGAAGCACCGGCTTTGCAAACGATAATGGGGAGAATTTGAGATTGAGATAGGACAAAACAATAGTAAAAGCAGTGCACCGTAGGCAGATGGAGAGAACTGATAATCGGATTTTAAGGCTGAGCGAAGGGGATCAAAGAGGGGTAGAAGGGAGCTGGAGTGCGGTCAGTATAATTAGGCTGGTGTGTTGGCTGCGATGGAGAGATCATAGTAATTTTGTAATTTTGTAATTTTTTCTTGTTTAAGGATTCCCCAAAGGCTTTCGCCTATCGAGGGGGTTTCCAAACTGTCCATAATGACCAAATCTGTAAAAGAAGTGATGAGCAATAGGTGAGCAAAGAAAGAGAAAAAGACATAGTCTAGGGCAGATAGCCTGTCTGTGGCCCACTCCCACTTGCTGCGCCAGTGGTCGTTGACATTTTTCTTGAACGTGTGCATACCTCTGTGAGAAGGGGGAGACTGCAGAAGGGTAGGTGGGAGCTGATTCCACGTTGCGATGGGGAGTGGGGAAATGAGCGGAGCGTGTTGTTTCGTGACTGAGGAGGAAGAATACTGGTGAGTTGTGATGGATGATGTGTTGCAGATCTGGTTGTCTCACGAGTAAACATGCGGCATTGCGGTGCGGCTGCTGATGGTGGCGGAATGGCTTTCACCATTTCCGGACCCTCCACAAAGTGCAGCTTGTACAGAAAGCAGAGCCCTGCTACGGTACGGCGAATGTCGAGGCTCGGGAGGTATGATCCATCTCCAATTATGTGCAGGGCACGGCGCTGGATGGCAGTGAGGCGGGCCAAGGTGGTGGGGGCTGCGCTCATCCACACCAGCATGCCATACTCTAACACAGGGCGGACAAAGCCACGGTACACGATTGCCCGGTGCTTTGGGTCTAGCACAGCCGATGCCTTACGGAGGAAGCCGAGCCGCTGGGCTCCGCGTACTGCAAGCTGTCGGATATGGCTGCGGAATGTCAGCTGCCTGTCGAAGTTGACGCCAAGAAGCTTGAGCTCCTCTACTTCTGGCACGACTGCTCCTTGGAAGCGTATTGCGTTTGGGGGGTTGGCGAGCGGTGGTGGCTGATGGTCAATGCCTGCGACTTTGTGGGCTCGAACTTGATCCTCCACCTGCTTCCCCATGCTGCCAGTGAGTCTACTGCCTGCTGGAGGATTGCTGTCTCTTCTGGCAGTCTGAGTCGGGTGGTGATGCACTTGTAGAGAGTTGTGTCGTCGGCGTATACAGCCAGCTTCGCCCCATCAGGCAGGTGGTCTTCTGCGTCGTTGACGTACAGAAGGAAGAGGGTGAGGCCGAGGATGCTGCCCTGCGGCACGCCAGATTAGATTCGGTGGGTCGGTGAAGACTGGCCGCCTATGACGACACGGATGTGGCGGTCTGTCAGGTAACTCCGGAGCCAGGCAAGGAGGGGAGAC